ATTGTTTGACTCTTTCTGCTTTCTGTTAGGTGAAAGGCTAACTTTCTCCTTGCAGAGGTTGGTGCCTTTTCTGTGGCTCTTTCTTTGCACCTTTCAGGAAGGTGATGGCAGCTCTCCAGAAGAGCCTGATAAAAAGCACAGATGTCAGAGGGGAGAGAAGGAGATTAGCCTCCAGCCTCACAAGGACTAGGCAGTCAGGAAGCCTAGACTAGGGGCAGTCAACAATTTGCCCTTCAGACGTGCTTGGATTGCAGTTCTCACATGCTGGCTAGGGCTAACGGGACTGGATCTCAACCCACCTGAAGTGCACCATGTTGACTACCCCTGGCCTAGCTCTAGGTTCCTTCCAAGCTCCACCATCCAAAGAAAACCCCAAACTCCTGTCACCTTGATAAGCAGCAACCTTTCTGTTGCGCTGTGCATAAACACACCCTTTTTATTGTGCTATTAAAGTTGTTGATGAAATACATATCATTTTTGTAAATTAATTGCTTGGATGAGGAAAGTGGAGGGAAGAAGAGAAAAGAAAATAGGAGTGGGGTTTTTGTGTGTGAAGGTTTTGGGACCTCATCCCTTTTACTCCTCCTTTTGCCTCCGACAGGTACTCGGAGGACCACCTTCTTCAACAGGAATGCTGGGGCACAAGCCCCTCTCCCCTCCCCAGCTCCTGTCCCAGAAAATGGACCGAGAGAGAAGCCACAGTTAGTGGAGCTGGAGGCTCACGTTTCTGCATTGGGTGCTGCTCACCAACTTGCTGGGTGAAGTGGGCTCTTCCTGGGGCCAAGCTTGTCCACCGTGTGGAAGTGGATATCGCCTGGGGAAGGTGATGCCATTGTGGCAATTCTGCCATTGCTCCTTGCTGATTAGAACTCTCCCGGAATGGCTAATGTGTGATGCCAACTGGGGTGGTTGGTGTTTTTCTGGTTCATGACTTTATGACTGATGGATGGGAACAACATTGTAATGGGCAGTGTGGGAGTGCCTGCTGGTGTTGCCATGCTATCCCAACAATTCTTATGTGTTCTGCTGTGATGAATGCCATTATGCCAAGATAGCTCTAGTGCAGAGGTCCTTGGCATCAACTGTTTTCGATTCACATCTTAAGCCTTCTCGGGGCCCATCCATATTTCTGCTTAAAATGAACTGTGTGCCCCCTTTGCACCCTTGAATTCCCTCAATCCATACGTTGTTCCTTGAAAACAGCTGCTCTCCCATCTCTCATCTAAATCCAGATTCTCTATAGCCTTGGGAAATCTGAAAAGGAAACCTGGCCCACTTCAAAACCACTGCTGAATGGGGGATGTGGATGCCTTTGCCTGGTTTCTTCTATGTGGGCAGTTGGTACACAAGTGTTGGGGGCAGGCGGGCATTGCTGGAAGGAACAAATAATGGAAAACCTGGGAGTGGACAAGAAATTCCACATTTTAAAAAATGTACGCCAGAGTACAAGGTCTAGTAGGGACTTCAAGGGGACAAAACTGATTACGGAAGCTCTGGGTTTCGTGGGCATGTGTAGATCAAGCCAGAGGTAATTGGCACATTTTGTTCCCCTTCTTTCCTGCTCTATGGCTTTGAGTTCCTTTGGGACATCCTTTTCTCTCTTTTTTTGGTCTTTCCTACTGTATTAATAAAAGAGATAAGAATATTGATCTGCTTTTCAAGGTGCTGTGTCCTAGGGTATATTACTGGGTGGGATTGATGTCTGTAATTAATAGCAGAGTTTTTTGTAGCTTGAAACTAGAGCCGGTGGTGGTGTAGTGGTTAGAGCATCAAGCTAGGACCTGGGAGAAATCAGGGTTCAAATCCCCCCACAGCCATGAAGCTCACAGAGTGACTTTGGAGCAGTCACTGCCTCTCAGCATGACCTACTTCATAGGGTTGTTGTGGGGATTAAATGGGGGGGGGGGGACACCATGAATGCCACCTTGAGCTCCTTGGAGAAAAAGTTTGGATATACATGCAATAAATGAATAAATACATATCTTTCCTTTGCATTAGACAATGGACATCCCTCTTTTTTATAGACTCCATTTATAAGATTTTCAGATGCTACTGAATGCTTTTTGCCTCGTTTGTACCTATCATCAATCTGCTTCTAGACTTGTAAGAGAATATGCAGGTTTGGAACAATCATTTTAGTTTATTTGTGGATATTTAGCTCTGCATCTGTGTTTGTTGTCAGTTTGTGCTTCTATCCCATCTCTCTGCATGTTTGTCAGAGATTGTGGCTTTGTGGCGCTTTGGAGCAACGGTCTTCAGCTGTGACGCACACACACCCGAGCACCCTCTCTCTCACACAACCTTGTTTCCTCCTCAGTGTTGTTTCCACTTGGCTACCTAATTGTTTGACATAGAGCATATTTTTTGGGGGGGGTGGGTATTCAGTTGCTCAGTTTCCCAGTTCACACTCCACCGATACTACTTTGCCTCTCTCTGATCTGTAAGAAGTGATCCATCTTTAGCAAACAGTTTTTGGCCTGGATTTTTTCATCTATATATATCTATCATCTATCTATCTATCATCTATCTATCTATCTATCTATCATCTATCTATCTATCTATCTATCTATCTATCTATCTATCTATCATCTATCATCTATCTATCATCTATCTATATCTATCATCTATCTATCTATATCTATCTATCTATCATCTATCTATCTATCTATCTATCTATCATCTATCTATCTATCTATCTATCTATCTATCTATCTATCATCTATCTATATCTATCATCTATCTATCTATCATCATCATCTATCATCTATTGCCACATTTTTTGCTTAAAGATTTGTAATCATAAGCACACAAGTTTTAAAATCAGAAGCAAAGTCATTCAACTCCGACAAATGGTCCAGGCAAGTGGCCACAGAAAGGGACTGAATGAATTGCCTCCCACTTTAGATCTGGCTGTGAGCTCTGCTGACTTTTCACTAAAACCACAGTGCAGGGGCAACTAGGTTTTGGCTCCCTCTTTTGCCTTCAAACCATTCTCCCTCTTGTACATTCTTGCACATCAGCTACACATTCAAGCCTCTGTGCATTCAGCTGAAAAAGTTATTCCATTAAAAAGTAGGAATCGTTTGCAAACTTGGCTTCAGCATTGCCTCTCTCATTGCTCAAAGAAGACTTCCATACACCCAGAATGACTGCTACCCCTATAATATTTGATACAGTGAAAACTGTCACTCTATTTGCTATGTCTCCTACTTTACAAGGTTGTTGTGAGGACAAAGGGAAGATGATACTTGGAGAGCTTTAGAAAAGGTCGGTTGTAAACATGAGAGCCTGGGTGTAGTGACTAAGAGCATTGGACTGAGATCTGGGTTTGAATCTCCCCTTCGCCTTCTAAACTTACTGAGCAAGTTAAGGTACATCCCTCTATCTAGCTTCACAGAAGAAGAAACTTTGGAGCACCTTAAACTTCCATAGTATAGAGTCCAGTTCATTAAATAAAGGGTTCTCAACCATGAAAGCGTCTGATGTAATAAGTGTGTTTGTCTTTAAGGTGCTACATGACTCCGTAATGTTTTGGCAAGGGTAATTTTTTTTGGGGGGGGGGGCAGGATGCTGGCTATGCTTTCTTCTCTGAGCTTTTGGAAGGAGGGTGGAATAAAAACCAGGTTGAGAATATCACTTTTGATATGATTCAGTGGAATGGATAGAAAGAAAAGTTTTCTTGACTTTCTTTGAGCATTTCAGGCACCAAGAACACGGAGCTGTTACCCTGAAGCTAGAGGAAGAGTCTCCAGTTGAAATAAATCTGTGCCCCCTCCTTTTTGGATTTTTTGGTAGGGAGAGGCTGAAGAAGAGGGCAGAGGGAAGAAAAATATTAACCGTGTGTGTGCGCGCTTTGAAGTCAAATGTGAAAATATTCATATGGAGTATTCTCTGTGTGTTCATGACATGCAGGGCTCTTTTTAGACTAGCAAAAAATATTTAATGTTCATATTTTGTTTTGACCAATATACAGACAAACTACAATATACAACATTCAGAAATTCACTGGAGTTTGTTAATGGTAAATGCAATTTTTAGTCTTGTTGCTGGGATATCCCTGATTTCAGAATGGAGTTGGCAGCACATACATTCATCCAAGCACTGGCAAGTCTGTCTGCCTATTGTGTCTGTCTAAGAGCTAGACTGATACCACTACCACCTATGCACACATGTGAGTGTTTGCAGTTATAGACAGTTTTTCTTTTATTGTTTCTTGAATTGCTGTTCCGATCTCATTGTTTAGTGGATTTTGCAGTGGGAATGCATTCTAAATAGCACTGCTCTTTCAAGATGGAGCATATTTTAAAACAACATGTTTAAGATCGCTTAAGGAGACCTTAGGTTGATATTTGAATCCAACAGCCTGAATCTCAAGGAAGTTATAGCAGAATTAGCAACACCAGTAAAACCAGCAAATGGTTAAGAATGCAAGAGCTGACTCCCTCCACCCCAGCCTGCCACTCATATAGCTGCCAATTTCAGAGAACATTTTCTGCATCTAATAAAATAAATTCAACTCCACAAAACTTTCTTCCATAACATAACATAATTATATTATATATTTTAATGTTGTAACTTGCCCTGGGACCTAAGGACAATATTTTATGTCTGTCTATCTATCTATATCTATCTATCTATCTATCTATCTATCTATCTATCTATCTATCTATCATCTATCTATCTTTCTGTCTATGTTTCTAATACCACCAATGTCTTTGTTCTTTGTAAAACATTAAAAGAATTATTGCTATCGTAACTGTTTTGTTGTGGGAAAAGGGGCATGAGGGTGCTTAAAAGGAGAATGTAGTTCTGGCTCCCCAACAACTAGGAAAAGAAAATTGCTTGCCTTGGAATCTCACTTTCTGAACCAAAGGAAAACACACTGTTTACCACCAAGGGCTGCAGGAGTCCTTGCCCCACACCTGCAGACCACCATCTCAGCGCAAGGCTCCATCCAGGCAGAGTCCCAAAAGACCGGGGGAGTAGGGGTTGCATAGCTCACACACACAGACCCTTATCAGTTCTCCGTCCAACGGTTAGCATAAGAAGGCTGGCTGGAAAAGTGATAAGGGCACGTGAGTGGATGGAGTTCAGGAATCCTGGCAATAAATGGGGGTTGGGGGTAGGAAGAAATAAAGCAAGCAGGAGAAGACTGAAAGAAAGTTTGACATCACCAGTTGCATCTGGAACGGCAGGGAGGTCTTCCCCAGGTGAGAAGAAGGCAAGAGGGTCACAGGCTGCCGGTGACCTTAAGACTGGCTGCAGGAGGGAGCCTGGATCTCGCTGGTCCTTCTGCTTCTGGAACAGGCCAGGGAAACAGCTGCAACCCACCACGTCACCTGGGAGGGTCTAGCCCCTCTCCGCTTTCTTCTGCCTTTCCTCTGCCTTCGCTCTCATAAGCTCAGCCCATTCCTGCTTCCCGGATGCTCTGTTCCCCTGCAGCACTTGGTTTGACTGGCTGGGCTCCACTTTGTGCCCTGCAGTAAGTAGAGCTCCTGGCAGGTCACAACTCCACCCACTATCCACACAGGCAATGAGCAAGGGCAGCTTGGCGGAGGTGGGCAACTTGGGGCTCCTCTGGTGTTCCAAGGGCCTCTGGAAGGAGGTGCCTGGCTAGGAGGCGGTCGGCTCAAGTGGATAGAGGAAGGTTTTTCTCCGTCTCTGATAATAACATTAGAACTAGTGGACCTCCAATGAAGTTGAATGTTGGAAGAGTCAGCATGGATAAAAGAAAGTCCTCCTTCGTGCAGTGCAGAGTTAAACTATGGGACTCGCTCCAACAGAAGGCAGCAGTGGCCACCAATTTAGATGGTGTTGAAGAAGGAGCCGCCAAATTCATGGCAGAGTGGGCTGTTGACGGCTACTGGCTATGATAGCTATGCTTTGCCTCCACAGCTGGAGGCAGCAGGGCTTCTGAATACCAGTTGCTGGATGCTGCACCAGGGGAGAGGGCTCTTGTGCTAAGAGGCAGGTGTTTGGCCACTGAGAGAACAGGATGCTGGACTAGATGGGCCACTGGCCTGATCCGGCAGGCTCTTCTTAGGTTTATGTTTTTATATGCATTGCAAACAGAAGCATACCTAGTCTCCCTTGCACACTTGGCAAATAGCTGCATCGGTGCTCCCCCACTCCGGGACCCTTGTGCCCTTTGCAATCACATACCCTCCAACATGCTGCAGAGGAAAATCAGGACACAAATCTTCCAGTACTGTACTCCCTCATGAGTCATGTTACCCACGTGAAAGAGTACCCCCCCCAACACACATCTTTTGGGGCTGTGCTTTCACAGGAGCCAAAACGGAATATCCCATGATCCGGTCAGAAGCTGGGATGGCTTCTGTAATTCTGGGGATGTTCCGCCTAAAGCAGGACAGTTGAGGGGTATGCAGTCATTGCCTCTCTTTGTCTTTCTGTGTGATTTTTGCACCCCTATAGGCCTGCACCCTTGGCAAGGGCCAATCTGGCTGACCCCCAGGTATGCCCCTGCTTGCCAAATAGTCCACTACCAGCCTTGATGTGCCAAGCTAAGAGAACCCTGAGCAACGGGCTTTGGGGGTCCCATTTATGTAGGAAACTTAAATTCTACAGACCTTTCCAAAAGAGAAGGCAAGAATTTAGCTCAGTGCTAAGAGCATCCGCTTAGCATCCAGTGTCTTCCTAAGGAAACCCTGGGGAATCTTTAGCCCTCCAGAGGTTGCTGAACTACAATTCCCATCATCATCAGCATGATCAGTGGCCAGGGATGAGCAGAGTGGTAGTTCAGCAACACTTAGAGGGCAAAAGGTTCCCCACACCTGTACGGAGGGTTAGTAAAATCAATAAAGTCTGTTCCTTTTCAACCTACCCAGCAGGTTTTCCCAGTTTAGGCCAAATGAGAGGAAACAAGCTTTGCCACGATTGGGCATTCAACGAATGCAAGAGGTTTCCTTCTGCTTCTTCCCCTCTCCTTGCTGCGGCAAATGTGCCTTTCTCTGCTGTTGTGCTCCAGGCCTCCCCTGCAGGGTTCCTTGTAACGTTGCTGCTGCTGCTGCATGTGTGCCAGGGTCTTCTATAGCAGGGACGTCCAACTCTCAATAGACTGTGATCTACTCACAGTATAAAAAAGTGATCTACCCATTGTTGTTGGATGGGCCAAAGTTGTTGAGGCTTTTTTTAAGGAAGCGTAAGTTGTTTGGTGTGTCCCCCTTTTTTGGGGGGGAGGAGATCACAGAGGTGCCAAAGATCTACCAGGAACACCCCACGATCTACCAGTAGATCACGATCTCCTTGTTGGACATGCCTGTTCTATAGCATGGAGGTATGAGCAGCAGGCAAGGGCACCCCCTCACAGCCCCCACCCCAATTGACAGGGGAATAATGCAGAGCATGTTGTGCTTCATCTTCTCCCTTACCATTTGGTGGCTGCAGAAGAGCAGCTGCCTTGCTGGGTCAGCCCAGAGGTCCATCTGGCCCAGTATCCTCTGCCTCCTCTTCCACCCCTGGGCTGCCCCAGCCGCCCTCTGCTCCTCTGGCCCCTCCTCCCAGCTGCCTCAGCTGTTTTTAGCAAGGCGAGGAATGTTCCCTTTGCAATGCTCAGTTTTGGGGCTAAGCCCTTTTCAATTGGGCGCACTCTCACCCCCTCCGCCCCAGGCAACTCCAGTAAGCATCAGCTCACAGAGCAGCATGACTCAGTGGTCAGCGATGGAGCTCCAGGGCATATGCAAAGCAATCTTTGGAAGCCTGCCCCCCCTTTCTTTCAGATTGCGCAAATGTGTGTCAGGCCATGCAGAAGACACAGAAATAAATGTGCAAGCCTCCTCCTAAGGGCGTTAACAGCCCGGTGTTCACTCTGAAGGCTGAGGGGGTATATGATAGCCATCTTCCAGTATCTGAAAGGCTGTCACAGAAAACTTGTTTTCTGCTGGTCTGCCCGACCCAATGGATTCAAATTACAAGAAAGGACTATACATACCCAAATCCCTCCACTGAGGAGGAGGAGGAGGAGGAAGAGGAAGAGGAAGAGAGAGGTCCACTGCTCACTGGTGATGTGTCTGGGCAGAGTCACCACCATCCTGGGTTGCTCAGCCAGGCAGAGCCTGATTGTAGGCATGTATTCATTTCAGTGCTAACCTCCAGACACATATTTGTCAAGCTCTGGAGAACCTGCCCCTTCCCTCCCTTCTGTGCAGATGGAGAGGGGTAAATCCTTCTGTGAGACCCAGAGGAAATTGCAAATACCTTTTAGGTACCATGACCTGATTCCCGCCCCATCTCTCTCCACAGGCTCCTTCCTCCTTGCAAAGCTGGGACTTCCCAAGGCCTGCACAGCAGCAGTGGGGGTGGCAGCCCCTCACTACAATCCCTGGCAGTGTGTGTGTGTGTGTGTGTGTGTGTGTGTGTGTGTGTCTTTGCCTAACAAAAGTAGCCCAGGATTTACTCTGGCAGAGAAGGCAGGGAGCCTTGTACGTTAAACCTAGAGAGTGGCAGACCAGAGCTCATACTCTAAGCCCTGTTGAACTCTTTGGGGCACTGTTTTGCTGCCACACTGGGTGGGACAGAGAGGGCCAAGAGAAATAGCTAAAGGGTGTGTGTGTGTCGTAGCCAGCCCTTCACTGATAGGAAGGGGGTTGGTCTGGATGACCCTTTGGGTCCCTCCCCGCTCTACAATTCCATGGCAAAATGGGCCAAAGGCTGCCTCAGAACCCTCAGTCCAGATAACAGGCAGCTTGCATGAGACTTGGCAGTGGTAAAGGTACTCTGCACATGCTCAGGGACTGTCATCTTGATATTTAGGCTTTTAAAACAGGCTTCAGAGCCAAATGTGGCTCACAACCAGTAGAAATGTCTTTTGCTGTGTGGTGCTGAGGCTCATGTGTGGTACTGGCAGGACATATGCAACTCCCCCCCCCCTCCAACTAGCCATGTAGCCCATTGGATGTTTTTGGACTGACCTACCCTACTTCACAGGGAAGTTGTGAGAACCAAATGCCAATGCCACTTTAAGCTCTCTTTATAGACGAGCCTTAATCATAGTGCTTAATGTCTGAGCTGCTGGCGCTCAACCTTCACATGCCCCCCCCCCCCCCCGCCCAGATGCTGGTAGAGGAGCTTTGAGCTTCCGCTACGGAAAGAATCATCCTTTCCTTTCAAAGGTTCCAGTCTTCCTGAGCCTTCATGTTCTAAAGGTCTTGAGCTGAGTGAGCCCTGATGAGCCTGGAAGGGTCACGCGGCCAAAGCACCTGGCGAGCTGCCTTCTCTGCAGATGATCGCTCCAAAAAAAATAATAATAATAAGCAGAAAAGTTTACTGCCATGACGCAATTGTGCCACTAGAGGCCACCTTTGCTATATGAGCGATGCCCCTAGCGCAGAGGCTGTTGTCAAGGCTCGAATTATTTTGCAGTGCTAAGCAAAGAGAGAGCTTTTGGTGACCCTAAGAGCATAAGATGCACCTGCAGGATCAGCCCAGTGTTCCATCTAATCTAGCACCCTGTTCTCACAGTGGCTGAACAGATGCCTGTGGGAATCCAGCAAGCAAGACTAGAGCCCAAGAGCACTCTTCCCTCCTGTGGTTTCCAGCAACTGGTATTCAGAAGCATCACCATCATAGCTCAGTAGTAGAAGAGCCTCTGCTTTGCAGGCAGATGGTCCCAGGTTCGAACCCCAGCAGTCCCAGGTAGGGCAGAGAAAGACTCCCTGCATGAAACTCTGGAGAACCGCTGCCAGCCAGTGCAGGCAGTCAGGACAAGGCAGCTTTCCAGGTTCCTCTGTGAATAAAAAAAGCACAGCAGTGACTGTTAGGCAAATCTGTTATAGGTCAGAAAAAAAAATCCAAGAAGCAGCTTGGAAGGAAGGAGAGAAGAGGGCCTTCTTGGTGGCGGCTCCCATATTTGGAACTCCCTTCCTAGAGAAGCTAGACTGGTTTCCTCCTTGTCCTTCTGCCCCTGCTTTATTTGCTTTTTTAAAAAAGGGGAAGGGTTTTTAATAGTGCTGTGCTGTTTTTATTATTTGTATTTGTTAAATTTCATTTTTTATATATTGTTTTAATTCTATTAGAGTTTAATTGCTTTTCAATTATTCTTTTGTATGGGTTTAGCTTTTTTATTTTATCTGCCTTGTTTTAATTGGTATAAACAGCCTTGAGTCCTGGTCCAGGAAAAAGGCAGGATATAAATGATGATGATGATGATGATGATGATTCTAGCTTCTCAATAACCTCTTTAAAAAAGCACCAGTTTGGGCACAAGCCACCCCTCACCCTCTCCATCCTATTAGAAAACCATTGAGTCAAGCCTGTCACCTGATAAAATATCCATGCAGAGCCAGTTGGTTGTCTGTGACCTCAGTGTTCTGTTGGTGATAGAATTGTAGAGTTGGAAGGGACCTTGTTGATCATCTAGTACGAGCCCCTGCAATTCAGGAATCCACAGCTATCCCATATATGGGGATGAAACCTGCAACCTTGGCCTTATCAGTACCACACTAACCATCTGAGCTATCCAGGCTTTTAGGTGACCCTTTAGTGAAAGCTTCCCTCTGCATGATGCCATAGGGACAGGAGTGACATCTAAAAGCAAAGAAAGGATTGTATTATAACTGGAGCCACTTTTGAAAAGCAGCCCACTGTTGGAATGGAATCTTCTCTCACCAAAAATAAGCACCTCCACCCACACGGTGCGGCACAGATGCTGGTCTCCAGATGGGCTGAAATTTCAGGGATGTCTTTCCCCTTCCTAGAAGCATCCCTTTTCAAACTGGATATTTCTGCTACAGTCTCTGGAGAAAGTAACAGCCACGTAATATAGCGAAGGCTGAAAATCCAGACTGAAATTCAGGAACCTGGGTGATGTTTTGTCTTTGCAAAGGTGACTCCCCACTCTCACTCCCACACCAGATGCAGGTTGGATTGTACAGCTCTTGATGAGCCTACACAGGTGAGTAGTCTGATTAAATGCCCTGTAGGTGGCACCCTTGCCCTGTCCTGAAATGGCTGGAAGCTGGTGATTTGAGGACTGGTGCTTAAAAGAATGCTTTCAGATTCTACAGTGCTATGTTAGCCTAAACCCCTCATCTCCTTTGGGTCTGCCTTAGAAAGGAAGAGTCAGGCCAAGCTACTTTGAAAGGGAACCCAAATGCGTGGAGAAATAGACTGGTTTTTAAGACAAGTTACTGAGCAGGTGGATGTAGGGGGTTGATAGCCTTTGGAGACCTGTGTCCATATGGTCAACTTTGCAAGGTCCAGCATTCCCTGACCCAGAAAAGATTCTCTTGAAGCTGGCATTGCCCACATATGAACTTGGCCCACAGAACCAAATGCTGGTTTCACTGCCTCTGCATTGCTGAGATGTCAACAAACTGGAGGAAACCAAACCATGCTCCAGATGTCATGAACCACTCTTCCTTGAGCTCATGTACATACATCCTCTGTCTCCATACATGTCTTTTCTGGATATTGTGATCCACACATGTTTTCTGCGCATTCTAGGTACCGATCCCCTGCATTGCCCTTGGAACACTCCACTGCAGGGGTTTAGAGAGAGTTGCCGATGCCCAGAGGGGGTAAGTGTTGTGCCCCCTGGTAGACTTGGCAGCAGTCAGCCCCTTTGCCAGCTAGCGCCCAATTAAGGGAGTCACTCCTTGCAAATTAGCCCCAACCTGGGAGCAGAGATAAGGCAGAGAAACGTGAAGACAGGAGTCCTGCCATGTCACCTCACTCTGGTCAACGCACATGGCTCTGGCAGTGCTTTCCTGCCTTCCTCTTGCTCCCTCCCTCCTCAGTGGGTGGTGGTGGCCTTCCCTCCCTCCCTCTCGGTTGGCCCAAGGGCAAGGTGTATGTGGGTATCCCTTCACCAGCCACAAGGAGAAGGAGGCACCACCGCCCCCCCAGCCCAGGTGTGGCTTGCCACCCCATGGCTCTGGCTTCAATGAGTGGGACTATTGTGGGGGCGCCTGGTTGTACCACCTTAGAAGTTTGCTCCTGGGACACCCCCCCCCAAGCTATGCCACTGCTTCTTGGAAACTCTTTCCCAGAGCTTAACGGACATGAAGCCCCTTCAAGGCTTTTTCTGCTTTGCCTTTGGAAGGAAACTCACTTGCACTGGGGAAAGGAAGAGAAGGGAGGGGAGGGAGGCATGCTTAAGGCCCGCGCTATCTGGGATTATCTCGCATGTCTTACCAGCTCTGCTTTAGCAGTTCCCAGGCTGTTCCTGCTTTCCTGCCACGGTTGTCTTCATACCTCCGTAGCCTGATTATTCAATGCGCTTTTTTGCCTGCTGCTGCCCCCAGATCCAAGATCTCCTTTCTGTTAGCTTTCCCCGTGTGGCGTGGGGATCCCTCTCTACCTGCATTCGGTTGAGTAAGAGAGAGCAGCGATGTGGGCTTCTCCCTTGCCGTGTTGTGGAAGTGTTTTCCTGGGAGTTCTGCTCTGATATGCTTCAGGAAGGCTGATGGTTGTAGGAGAAATAGGAAGGGAGAACAGCACAGAACTAGTGCTACCTCTGTTGATACCACCGTGAGGGATAAGCCTCGCTCCATGTGGCCTCTGTAAGCGGCATGCAGCCGCCCCCCACGTCCAAGTACAAATGATTCACCATTAAACTCCACTGCCACCTTTACCTTTCTCTGCAGTGGTAGGAGACGGCACCCATCTAGTATTTTATATTAATAAGCAGCAAAAGGGGATGTGAAACTATTTGCAGCCAAGTGCATGAAGTAACATAGGAAGAAAGTAAAAAAATGTCCAGTAGCACCTTAAAAGGTAAAGGTAAAGGGACCCTGACCATTAGGTCCAGTCGTGGCTGACTCTGGGGTTGCTCATCTCACTTTATTGGCCAAGGGAGCCAGCGTACAGCTTCTGGGTCATGTGGCCAGCATGACTAAGCCACTTCTGGCGAACCAGAGGAGCACACGAAACACCGTTTACCTTCCCGTGGGAGCAGTACCTATTTATCTACTTGCACTTTGATGTGCTTTCGAACTGCTAGGTTGGCAGGAGCAGGGACCGAGCAACGGGAGCTCACCCTGTCGCGGCGATTCGAACCGCTAACCTTCTGATCAGCAAGTCCTAGGCTCTGTGGTTTAACCCACAGTGCCACCCGCGTCCCTTCCCAGTAGCACCTTAGAGACCAACTAAGTTTGTTCTGGGTATAAGCTTTCGTGTGCATGCACACTTCTTCCTTAGTTGGTCTCTAAGGTGCTACTGGACATTTAAAAAAAAAAAAAAATTCAACTGTGTCAGACCAACATAGCTACCTACCTGAATCTAGGCAGAAGGTAGTTTAGCTCATTTCACAGGGATTGATGGCATTTCTCATCTGAGAAGAGATAGGGACAGGACAAATGTTGAGCTCTGGGAACCACACAGCAAAGTTAAAGGACGATATTGTTATGAGTTTGGGGTGTTAAGCTGTATGCCACACACCTCTCTAATCCTTGGATCCAGCAAGTGTTAAAAGCTAAAAGCACCCTGCCTTTCTGTGTAGGGTGCTGTGCTTTTCAATGAAGTCTTCCTTAGGTTGAGGAAGGGCCAATCCAAACCCTATAACAAACTTACTTTGGTGGCCACCTCTATGCCTCTCTCCTCCTTTAGAAGTAGCTGCTCAGTCCAGGAGGGCTGCTTAAAGAAAAAGGAAAGGTCCCCAGCAGCATGGATTCAATGCAGATTCTACCCATCAGACTGTGTGTGTGTGTGTGTGTGTGTGTGTCCCAGGTAGACAAAATAAAGTCTAGTTTGTCATTGGTTGCTTCTCCAAAGGTCTCAGACTGCAGCTCATCAAAGATAATGGCCAAATAAGTGTCGGCATGGAAAATACAGGGAGGGGACTTGTGTTCTTAACAGCTTGTTTCCATAGCTGATGAAAGTCCACCCTAGTGCCCAGGCTAGTTTTCCAGAAGAATGGTGGTTGAATAGAAAGCCAGCAAGCAGAAAATCTCTGGAGTCTGTCAGCCACTATTGTATATGCCTCAGTGCACCTGATGACTGTCTTCTTAGTTCTGCCTGTGTGCAGAGGACTTGGGGAGCAATGGGCCCCTTCCTTAGAGAAACAGAAGATTTGGGGAACGCGTCACAGACAGGAATGTAATGGTTGCTCTTGGCTGGGAGCAATGAGGTTGATGCTACTCTCAAAAAGCAATAAACAAACAAACAAAAAACTGCCCTCTTCCCTAGGAGAATGTTGAAGTGGAGAAAAGGTCACAATGTTCAGCTGGAAAATTCATATTCCTTATGATGAAACACTTGCACAATAGAGGGGTTTTTTTTTAGCTTAGAAGTCGTCATAGAATCATAGAATTGTGGAGTTGAAAGGGACTCACAAGAATCATCTAGTCCAACCCCCTGCAATGCAGAAATCTCAGCTAAAGCATCCATGTCAGGTGTCCATCCCACCTCTGCTTAAAAACCTCCAATGAAGGCTGGTCCACAACCTCCCAAGGGAGACCATTCCACTGTCATACAGCTCTTACTATCATATAGGTCTTCCTGATAGTTGGGATCTCTTTTCTTGTAATTTGAATCCACTGGTGTGGATCCTACCCTCTGGAGCAGGAGAAAACAAGCTTGCCCCATCTTTCATGTGTCGGCCCTTTAGGTATTTGAAGATGGCTATCATATCTCCTCTCAGTCTATTCTTCTCCAGATTAAACATAACCATCTCTCTCAACTGTTCCTCATAAAGCTTGGTTTCCAGGACCTTGATCATCTTGGTTACCTTGAGTCCTAATGATAAAAGCTGGTGAACTTGACAGTGGAGGGTGGGGGAGGCTGAATGGAGAACACTGGTTCTTTTAGCAGCTCTCTCCTTATTAAAACAGGTTCATGGGCATAGCCAAGATTTATTTTGGGGGGGGGCATGCTTTATGTTAGGGGGGACAGAACTGAGTTATCTGCAATGCAATTGGTCAGTTAAGTATTTTTATAAATCAAGTATTTTACTTGATTTCGGGGAGGGCAGCTGACCCCCTGCATCCCCCCATGCTCAGGTTACCCACTAAAATAGAATTATGATGGTGGAAGGGACCTCAAGAACCCTTCCTAGTCCAGACCCCTGTCAATGTGGGAACCCTAATGCTGGAGCATCCCCTTTCCCTTGTAGGAGAAGACAGCAGCAACGTAGGAGCTGAGCAGCTCCGTCTTCTCTCCTTCGCCAGCTAACATTTCTCCATCTTCTCTCAGCAGACCCACCCGCTCCATATTCTTCTGCCAACTTGGATGGCTTCAGAAGGGACTTAGACAAATCAATGGAGCCTGAGTCCTCTGGTTACAAGCTGTGATGGCGGCTCTGCTCTACCTCCACACTCAGCAATGCTTCTGAATACCTCTTGTTGGAAACTGCAGGTGAGGAGAGGGCTGCTGTTGCACTCAGCGCCTGCTTGTGGGCTTCCCACGGGGACATCTGTCTGGCCACAATGGGAACAGGGATTTTCTTATGTTCTGATGTTCCTTTTGCACCAAACCTATCCAAAAGACCCACCCCCTTTTTGTTGTTTTTAGGCATAAGCCTAAGCCACGACTGGAGGGTCATCCACTGCCCTCCTCTAGCTTGCTTGCTTCTCTTTAGCCTTGGAAGCCTCCTCCTCCTTCCATTTCTTTTAAATCTGAGTTCATCAGAGAGCTCCTTCTCCTGCCTTCAGATGCGTCCTCATTGCCTTGTGGAATGGAATGGGTTTTGAAAAAAACAAACAAATTGGGTATTTTAAAAAAAATGTTTTAAAGAAGAACCTGCATTTGTGAAAGGAATATCCAACAAGCAGGTAAGTTGCACAGGTAAAAATATTAAATGCAACAACAACAACAGCACACAACCCTAACCCCTCAACTGTCCCCCTCCCAGCAATCCATATATACTTGAACATTATAGTGAAATCACAAGGAAAATTTGTCTTGAAACAAAATAAGCAACCATTACTTAGTATTCCATACAGTTAAGTAAAAAAAGAAGAGTAAAATGAAAAAAAATCTTTTTTTAGGTGGGAAAATACAGTGTTGATGTACTAAGAAGCATGAGCTCAAGAAACCATTTTAAGATGAAGCATTCCAGATTCTAATATAAAGTGATGGGGGACATTGTCTGTTATTTTTATTATTAGAATAATTAATAGACGACTACCATAAAGCAATAAATTTATCAGACTTGGAGACTCCATTTCAATGGAATGGTTTTGATTGCACCTTCAGTCTCTCACTTTTAAGAAGCCCCTACCCAGCTTCAGCTTCAGCTTCAGCTTCTGCCTCCTGCTTTCACCAAGGGGATCACACCCAGAATTTCTTGAACTTTCTTGAAATCAGCTTTTTCTAAAGTCCAGGGTGCATATCTAGCTATGTTCACCTTTCCCTTTCCTCTGTATCTTGATGACATGGACACTACCACTCAACTTCCCTCTCCACAGCCAGTTCTTCTCTGTGAGCGGGGATCACATCTAGGAAAGTAGATCTCCTGGGATCTTCTCCCACCTTCTGGGAGATGTAAGTGTTGTCAGGGCAAGGGCAGCCAGCCAGGAGAAAGAGATATTCTGCTCTTAGCAATCCTGATTATCCCAATGTCATGTGGCAAGAATCCCATAGGCTCCTTCTGAGAACTGTTCAGTTTGAGAATAAGGCAGAGACTATGGACCAGGCTTCTGAGCAGCCCACGTGGTCTTCCTCCTCCTCCTCCGAGAAGATGCATATTCTCCAGTGCTCCTGTCACTCTGGCTCAATTTCCCTGTCCAAATGGTCCTGCCCTGCAGGATAAACACAGCTTCCCAATGGTGGCCTTTCTGAGTCATGCATATCTCTCTCTTTCTCTTTCTCTTTCTCTCTCTCTCTCTCTCTCTCTCTCTCACACACACACACACACACACACAGAGGAAATAAAAACCAGCCAACGAGAGAGAGAGAGAGAGAGAGAGAGAGAGAGAGAGAGAGAGATGTTTTCATGACCCAACCTTCTCCTCCATTGGCAGGACAATTGCAAACGATGGTGACGCATGACATTCTGGGGATGCGTTGACTTTCTTTTGATCCTGTGGAAGTGTAGCAACAAAGGGTATTATGCACAAATATGGTTTCAATCGGAAATATTTCCATGCAAATTTCTAAAGCACAGCAGATGAAACACATATTTTAATTGTTGGTTGTCAACAATGGAGGAACAGTCTATTGATGGCTACTAGCCACGATGCTTTGCCTCCGCAGTTAGAGGCAGCAATGCTTTTGAATGCCAGTTACTGGAGATCACAGGAGGAGGGAGTGCTCTTGTGATTGGGTCCTGCTTGCTGGCTTCCCCCTGGGGGCATCTAGTTGGCCACTGTGAGAACAGGATGTTGGATTAGATGGGCCATTGTGCTGATCCAGCATGTTCTTAAAGCTCTGCTATGGGAGCTTGTGGCTGCTGGCCCAACAGCATGTTGCTCACATGATGAAGGCAGCCTTGGGAAGGCCTATCCTTCCACTCTGGGCCATGCTTGCACAATTGTCCCCTTTGAGTTTTGGGAACTCTTGGCATCAAAGCCAAAACTGCTGAGGCAGCTACAACCTCACTCTGTGAGTTGCCTGGCAGTCCCAACATGCATGGCTCTGGCACCAAATATTGTGGGTGCCTGGCCCCTTCATGGGGAATTTTGTGGGTGCTCAGGCACCCAGAGCTCCAGGGAGTTGGCACCTATGACCACAACTATTGAACTATTTATTTACTTTGAAAATTTCTAAACTGCACCTTCATTCAAAGTATGGATTCCAGGGTGGTGTATGTGTATAAAACTACTGCTTCTGCTTCTTATGGTTTGGGTAAATGCTGATGACACCTAGAACTGCATTAGCCTTTTAAGCAGCTGCTTTAGCACAGCCTGTGGTCACCTTAAACCATAGGTAGACAAACTAAGGTCTGGGGGCCGGATCTGGCCCAATTACCTTCTAAATCCGGCCCGTGGGCGGTCCGGGAATCAGCGTTTTTACATGAGTAGAATGTGTGCTTTTATTTAAAATGCATCTCTGGGTTATTTGTGGGGCATAGGAATTCGTTCATTCCCCCCCCCCCCCGCAAAATATAGTCCGGCCCCCCACAAGGTCTGAGGGACAGTGGACCGCCCCCCTGCTGAAAAAGTTTGCTGACCCCTGCCTTAAGCTCTTTGCTGCTGCCAAAGCCCTGCAGACCCAACAGACAAACTCTTAGACTGGGATATGGCTCTCCTTTATCAGCCCCATATACTTTTCCTACTGCTGCCCTCAGGAAACTGGAGGGGGAAGGAGGTGGTGGTAGAGGAGGAGAATCCCTGCGCTGATGCTAGTCCAGAACATCCATTGTGCGATGATCACACCACGGCCAGCAGCCACACTGCTCTGCTGTACTGTTTTACTGCAGTGGCGCCTGGCGTTGCGATGGCCCTCCCAGGTCAACTCACAAAGGGTCCATCTTTGGATGATGAAGATGCAGCCCCCCCATACCCATGGCAGACACAGCCCTCCCATTGTTCTTTTGTCCTGCTTAGGGAAGTGGGGAGGTGCTCTCTGCTTTCTACAGCATTTATTCTTGGCTCAGAGGCTGTCGGAAGGTTTTTTTTTAATTTAAACCATTCCTGAGATGTGAAATCCAAAAAGCTATTTAAAGCCTCTGTCAGGATGCAAGAGGGGACACGAGGCATATTTTTAGAAGCAGCAGCAGCAGCAGCAGCACTGGTGCTTAGCTCTGGAGAAGCAGCTTCATACTCTTTGTGCACATAGAAGAAGACCTCAGAAGCGCCTGGGAATTTCAGGCTCAGGACAAGGAGGGAGAAGAGGCTGGGAGGTGGCAAAGTCTGGAGCTTCTAGCCCAGAGACAGGCACTTATTGCTCCTATGCCAGCCTAATAAATCTATGCCATTTGTAATCGTTGCATCCATGCAGAGGGACCCCTCCCTGGTTCTTGGTTGAGATAATCTAAGGGGGCTCTCTTCCTTCCCCCTTTTTTCTTCTTTTCTTTTTCTTCAGTGCCATCTTCCTGGAGGAGGGCCTGAGTCAAGATGGAGGGAGAAACAGCAACATTCCTGGAGCAGTTCAGGTTGATGCTCCAGGAGCAAACCCAGCAACAGACAGAGCAGCTTGACCAAATGGAGCAGCGACAAAACCAGCAGTCAACAGAACAGAGCAGTGTGGCTGCTGCTGGCAGAGTGGACAAGAAGCCTCCACGGAGAGGAAAGCATATATACTAAAGACACCACAGTCTCCGCTGTGCCTCATTCCCAAAAGGAAACACAGACCCTGGGTAATCATCAGGAACCCCGGAATTTCGATTGCTTGGAAATTGGAGTGGCGTGCAAGAATACTTTTAACTATGCCCTGGGGAAAGTCCTGAATCTGCCAACTTTGAGCTTCATTGGGTGCCCATTAGTTGCAGTGCTACAAGAGAGGCAGAAAAACTTTCCTCTGTCCACTCTCTCTATGCCAGGCATCATTTTATAAACTTCTACCATGTCGCATCTCACTCTCACCTTTTCTCTAAGCTAAGAAGTCCTATACGCTGAAACCTTTCTTCATAGGGGAGTTGTTCCTTCCCCAGGATGATTTTGTTTGCACTTTCCTGAATCTGCCCACACACCCCTTGTTTATTTGCTTCATTTGTCCTTTGGATGAGACTCACAGGGAGGTAAGGTGGGAATGAGACTACGCAGGGCTCAAAGTCTGACTCATATCCGCCCTCTGATCAGGTGAGCACCTGCAGGCTCCCTTCCACCTGCCTGCCTGTACCTGTAAGCCATCCTCATAGACAGCATTTGAACAGGCGCTTGCATAAAGTCAGCCCATGAAGGCCTCTCTGAGAGTTGCCAAGTGGAAGGAGAATGAAAGCTCACCCCCCATTCCAAGCAGGCATTGAAACCACCCCCTGCCTGCCTCAATCTGTTTATTTTCATAGGCCTTGCACTTCTCATAGCCTTCGACCCACATTAGGAAGGAGAAAGGATCTCCAGTTCATGATTTGGGCTGTGGGGAGCTCATCCTTATTGGTCCTTTGGAGAAGAAGAGGCAAGCCAAGCCCAAGGAACAGAAGGCGGCTCCAGCCCTGCATCTCCCATTATTGGGGAGGCTTGCAGATCTCATGCTTTAGATAACCTAATTTCCTCCTAATCTGATGGAGACGTTGCCCCAGCCTGCACCTCGTTAGTCATAATTCTGAGGTTTCAAAGCCCTCTTGCATGTGCCCAAGTGATCATGAGGTATTTCCACGATGAATCACCGGCTCATAATCTACACAAAAGCTGATGCTTTTGTTATTAAATTTGAAGGCCCGGCTCAGGAGAGGAAACTGCCGCTTGGCTAATCCGCCCAGACAGTGGAATGCAAGCAGAAAATATTATGAACTCGTCATTAGAGCACTGGCATATTGATGTGGCACTTGCACCTGCCTGTGGGGCTTTCCAGAAAATGCTCTTGACTGCGGCTGACAGATGGGGGATGATGAGTCTCAGTCATGCACCGGAGCTGGGTTCAGGGGCCGCCTCTTTAGGCAGCTCAGGCAGGGCAAGGAACACACCCTCCGTGTGAAAGTAGCTGGGAGGGGGGGCAGCTCAGCTGTTCATCACCCAGATGGATCTCTCCCAGCTCTGTTGCTAGTCCACTAGGTCAGGGGAGCAGTTGCTGCATCTGCTTTCAGGGCAGCTCTGGATCAACAGCCAGCTCCAGCCTTTTGGCTCCCTGAAGCAGGGCCTAAATGAATATTGTCCCCCGCCCAGCTTCAACCTCACAAGAACATCAGGAGAGCCTGCTGGATCAAGTCATAGCGGGTCCATCTAGTCCAGCATCCAGTGGCCAACCAAATACCCATTATGGGAAACCTGTGGCTTCCAGCAGTTGGTATTCAGAAGCATTGCTGCCTCCAACTGTGGAGGTAGAACACAGCCATCCTGGTTAGTAGCCCTTGATTGCCCTCTCCTCCATGAATTTGTCCCATGCTCTTTTAAAGCCCTCCAAGCTGTCCATATGACCATAGAAGAGATCTGAAGACAGCCCTGTATAAGGGAAGTTTTTAATGTTTGGTGTTTTACTGTGTTTGATGTTTTAATTTGTTGGAAGTCGCCCAGAGTGGCTGGAGCAACCCATTCAGATGGGCGGTATATATGCAAGCAAGCAAGCAAGCAAGCAAGCAAGCAAAGGGTGGTGATGGAAGTCAATCAATGAAATTTTATTATTGAGATATTTGTAGAATAAATTTGGAAGAAATTCTTCCAACTTTTCTTCTTCTTTTTCTCCTTATCTTATCTTTTTCTTTTATCTTTTCTTTCTTTTTTCTTTTTTGTTCTTTTTTACATATGTGTGCTTATCTGAAATATATATGTATGTATGTATTTGCAATAATTTGCTTATATTTTGTAATAATTATGTTAAATAAAATTAAAAACAAACAAACAAAGGGTGGCCATTACTGCCTTCTGCGGGAGCAAGTTCCATAATTTAACTGCACACTGCATGAAGAAGAGTTTTCTTTTATCTGTCTTGAATCTTCCAACATTCAGCCTCATTGGAGGTCTAGTATTAGCATGTGTCTGTGGATCCAGAGTCGTCATTGTGGCTCATGAGTAAGGGGTCTCCTCGTGAGTGAGAAATCCCTGAAATGCTTTCACTGCCAGCTTCTGTGATGAGGGTGTGGCCTAGGAGGTCAGAGTGCATCAGACTTCTTCCTGGGAGCAATGCAGGGTGCCTCTGCTGAAGTGAACCTTGACTGAGCTCCCCGAGATGCTGACCTTAGACTGTGACCTCACCCAGCTTCTGGTTCTCATTTTGGATGTTGCCTGATTCTCTGTGCTTGTCCTTGGTCTCTTTAGATTGTACTATACCCACAACTCTGCCCTGCTGGTGAGTGTTCCGCAAAGGGGTACATAGATCACCTGGAACTGGGGCCTGAGCCCCTGAGGGCACCCACTGGACTGTTACCTTCATCAGCATGCAAGTGTCATATATAACACTGGTTAAC